ACACCGTCAGAACTTTCACATCTACAGGAAGGGAACCAGGTGTGGGTGGTGTGGTGGCAATGTCACTGGAGGTAGTGTGGGTCTTGGACTTGGTGCTCAACCAGTGTGGTGCACACAGCTTGTTGGTCATTTACTGATGTATTGTGGTCCCCAGGCTTGATTGGTATAATTTCAGCATGATGGAGGGCTCTGGGCCAATAGGCTTTTTCAGCAAGTATAGAAAACATTCATGTAAAGTATCTCCTCTGTGGTTCCTGAGGAAGCCTACAAAAACGGGACGATGGGCTTGGCAATTTTACACTCTGCGTCGCCTCCACAAAGTCCAAGACTACACACCATCTAGCAAAGGTGTTGATACATGAATGTCTGAATAGCACAGTCCCATCATTATTCTCACAGCAATGACTAAAGTGGAATAATATTTGGTAAGAGGAGGTGGTCTGACTAGTTGGTTCTGTGGTCTTGGTTGTGAACGGTGTCCAACCGTTTCACAGTCTGCTTTGCTCCACATAAACCAAGGAATGACAAATGTCAAAACAAAGTTTTGTTTACACAGAGTTATCGAATGGACACTCATCCAGAACTTTGCACATCCCACAGGCAGGGGACCAAGGTGTGGGTGGTGGTGGTGGTAGTGTCACTGGAGCAGTGGGGTCTAAGGCCTTGAGTGTTCAAGACCAGTGGTGGTGCCACCAGGTATTGTTGGGTCCAGTTAAATTGGATGTTACAGGGTCCCCAGGCTGGTTGGCATAATTTCTGCTATTGGAGGCTTTAGACTGATAGGCTATTCTGCAACTAAAGCCACACATTCGCGTAAAAGGATCTCCTGTTGTTCCGGAGGAACAGTACAAACTGGACGAGTTTGGCAATATACACTCTGCATCATCGTCCACAAAAACCCCCAGACCTAAACACAACATAGGCAGAGGTTGTTTTTTTGAATCAAGAATTCGTCATGAAGGCAACATCATCATTGTTCTCCGAGCAACAGAATCACAGGCAAGACAAGAGGGTGGAAAAATTGTTAAGAGGTGTGGTCTTGTACTAGTTTGGTTCAGGGCGTCCTTTCTTGTTGGTGGTTCAAGACTAGAGGAGGATCTGTAGAAGATGAAGGACCCTGATGCAGGATTACTGGCTCACCAGGAGGTAAGACTGTTATACCTTCCTTGGACTGTGGGTAACACTATCTTCCAGAAGCAAGAGCTCATGCAACTCTCCTTGTTGAATTGGGCCAGTCGTGCCTGGTGGAACAAACAACAAGAAAGGGCGGTGTCCACAGTCCTACAGTCAGCTGCTTACCACAAAAACCATGGATGACATATTATCCAAACATAGGCGATTGATTTCAGCTGTTTTTCAACTGGACAATCCAACACTAACTACCCAACCTACGGCATTTGGAGGTGCAGTTGGTATTGGAGGAGGCAGTGGGGAGCAGGAGTTCCGTAGTGTGAGGTATTGGAGCTTCACTAGCGGTAATGGTGGGGATGGGTACTTGGACCAACAACTGGTGTATAGGTTTTTCTCTCTATCAACAGTTATTGTTTCAGCAATGGGTGCTCAGTAGTTTATGACAGGTTTTTCAGTTGAAATAGCTCTACAATCCTTCTTGTGGATCTCCAGTTGTTCCGGGTATAACAAAGACACACTGGTCTGTGATTTATACTCACAACATTCAGGCTTTTTCACCACAAATGCAAGGTACAGACATTAACTAAGCTGATTCTAACACCGATGAGTTGTCCATGTCCACAAATCATCATTGTTCTTCACAAGCAACAGGTACTAAGGAACTATCACAGGTGGAGGAGGACGTGTGGACAGGTCGTTCTGTGGTGGACGTTTTGGCTCCTCTACCCGCGTAGTAAGTCCTGGGGCGTGGGAAAACGCAGTTTTTATTGGAATGGATGGCTAATCTTCTGCAGGAGGCCTGTCTCCAACAATTGAGGAGGGTTTAGTGGTACTAGATCCACCAAAACAAACCACAGCAAGAGCTGAGCACTTGACATTTGATTGCCCTGTGGTTCCTAATGGACAGGTGCAAGGTAGGATGGTGTCAACCGTTTCAACAGTCTGTCCATTTTCTCCCACATAAACCAGGTATTCAAATGTCAAAACAAAGTTTGATTTAGCACAGGAGTTATCGAATGGACAATCATCAGAAACTTTCACATCCCACAGGCAGGGGACCAGGTGTGGGGTGGGTGGTGTGGTGGTAGTGACACTGGAGGCAGTGGGGGTCTAGGCCTTGAGTGTTCTGCCTAGTGGGTGGTGCACCAGCGGACTTGTTGGTCCAGTTTATTGGATTACTGGGTCCCCAGGACTGGGTTTGCATAATTTCTGCTATTGGAGGCTTTAGACTGATAGGTTTTTTTCTCTAGCAACTAAAGACACACATTCGCGTAATAAGGATCTCCTGTTTTCTTCCTGGAGGACAGTACAAACTGGACGATGTTTGGCAATTTTAAACTCTGCATCCATCTCCCCAAACCCCCAGACACACACAGCCATCATAGCAGAGTTGTTGATACATAGAATTGTCTGATGCACATCATCCATTGGTTCTCACAGGCAATGACAAGAGGTGGAATAATTGGGTTAGAGGTGGTGGTTCTTGGACTATTGGGTTCAGGCGGTCCTTTCTTGTTTGGTTGGTCAAGCTAAGAGGAACCTGTAGGAGATGAAGGACCTATGCTGGTATTACTCTGGCTCACCAGGAGGTTTAAGACTGTGGTAATACCTGCCATTGGACTGGTGGGTAACAGCTGTCTCAGTAGCAAGAGCCATGCACCTCTCCCTGTTTTGGAATTTCCAGTCGTGCCTGTGGACACACACAAGAAGGCGTGGTCCCACAGTCCTACAGTCAGCTGCTTCACCACAAAAAGCATGAGACATATATCCACACAGAGCGATTGATGCAGTCAGTTTTCAACTGGACAGTCATCACTAAAAAACTAAACACAATAGCCTCGGCATTTGGAAGGTGCAGTTGAAGTATTGGAGGAGGCCAGGTGGAGCAGGAGGGGGCTTCCGAATGTTATGTATTGGAGCTTCATTCAGCTAGCGTAATGGTGGGTGTACTTGGACCAACAACTGGGTGTATAGGTTTTTTCTCTATCAACAGTTATTTCAGCAATGGGGTGCTCAGATAGATATGACAGGTTTTTCAGTTGAAATAAGCTCACAGCCTTCTTTCTTGTGGAACTCCATGTTGTTCTCGGGATAACAAAGACACACTGGTCTTTGATTTATTTTACTCACACATATCAGCTTTTTTCAACCACAATGCCAAGGCTACAGACTCATACAAAGCTGATCAAACATGAGGGTTGTCCATGTCACAATCATCATTGTTCTCATAACAACAGGTTACTAGAGGAACTATCGAGTGGTGGAGGGTCGTGGAGAGGTGCTCTGTGTAGGATGTTTTGGTTTCTCTGCCAGAGGAGGAAGTCCTGGGGCGTGGGACCTGTGATTGGATGATGATTATCTGCTCTATAAGGATCTGCCCAACAACTGGATGATGGAGAGGAACTGGTGCATCTTAAACAAGCAAGGAGCTGAACACTTGACATTTGGATTGCCTGTAAGTTCCTAATGGAACAGTTGCAAAGTAGGAACGGTGTCCAACCGTTTCACAGTCTGCATTTTCTCCACATAACGCAGGATGACAATGTCAAAACAAAGTTTGTTTTACACAGGAGTTTTATCCCGGAAATGGAACAATCATCTAGATCTTTCACAAACTCCCACAGAGGGACCAGGTGTGGGTGGGTGAGTGGTGGTAAGTGTCACTGGAGGCAATTTGTGGGTCTAGGCCCTTGAGTGTTCAACCAGTGGTGGTGGCAACCAGCCTGAGTGAACTTGTTGGTCCATAGTTATTTGATGTACTTGGTCCCCAGGCTGGTTGGCATAATTTCTGCTATTGGAGGCTTTAGACTGATAGGTTTTTTTCTGCAACTAAAGACACACATTCGCGTACAGGATCTCCTGATGTTCCTGGAGGACAGTTTACAAAACTGTACCCGAATGTTTGGCAATTTTACACTCTGCATACTCCACAAACCCCCAGCACTACACACATCATAGCAGAGGTTGTTTGATACAAGAAATGTCTGAATCACAGTCATCATTGTACTCCACAGGCAATGACAAGAGTGGGAATAATTGGTAAGGTGGTGGTTCTTGGACTATTGGTTTCAGAGGCGGTCTTCTTGTTTGGTGGTTCAGCTAGAAGGAGGATCTGTAGGAGATGAATGGACCTGATGCTGGTATTATACTGGCTCACCAGGAGGTAAGACTGTTATTAAAAACCTGCCATTGGTACTGTGGGTAACAGCTATCTCAGTAGCAAGAGTACATGCAACCTCTCTGTTGGATTTGCCAGTCCGTACCTGGTGGACACACACAAGAAGGGCGGGTGTCCCCACAGTCCTACAGTCAGCTGTTCACCACAAAAACCAGGATGACAATATACCAAAACAGAGGCGATTGATGCAGCTGTTTTTCAACTGGAACAGTCATCACTACTAACACAACCTACGGCAATTTGGAGGTGCAGTTGGTAATTGGAGGAGGCAGTGGGCGGGAGGTTTCCGTATGTGAGGTATTGGAGCTTCAGGGCTCAGCGGTAATGGTGGGGGGATTACCCCCTTTGGACGACAACAACATGGGAGTATAGGTTTTTTCTCTAATCTAAATCAACAGTTATGTCAGCAATGGGGTGGCTCAGTAGTTATGACAGGTTTTTTCAGTTGAAATAGCTCTACAAGCCTTCTTGTGGTCTCCAGCTTTGTTCCGGATAACAAAGACACCTGGTCTGTGATTTTATAACTCACACATTTCAGCTTTTTTTTTCCACACTTTTTTCCACCAACAAATGCCAAGGCTACAGACATCAAATAAAAAAAAATTTAGAAACAAAAGCCTTTGAAATATTACAAAAAGAAAACAAAAAATGAGTTTTTGTCCATGTCACAATCATCCCCATTGTTCCTCACAAGCAACCATGTACTAGAGGAACTATCACAGGTGGAGGAGGACGTGTGACAGGCGGTTCTGGGTGGTTTGTTTGGATCGTTTTGGCTCCTCTACCACGGGAGGAAGTCCCTGGGCTGTGGACCAGTTTATTGGATGGATGGCTTCTCATCTGCAGGAGGCTGTCTCCAACAATTGGAGGAGGAATTGTACTAGGATCAATCCACAGCAAGAGCTGAGGGCACGGTTGAGACACATTTGGATTGCATGTGGTTCCTAATGGACAGTGCAAGTAGGATGGGTGTACGAACCGTTTCACAGTCTGCATTTTCCTCCACAATAAACCAGGATGACAAATGTCAAACAAAAGTTGTTTACACAGGAGTTATCGAGTGGACAAATCATCAGAAACTTTCACAATCCCCACAGGCAGGGGACCAGGTGTGGGTGGTGGTTGGTGGTGTGGTAGTGTCACTGGAGGCAGTGGGGGTACTAGTCCTTGAGTATTTCAGGCAGCGACAGTGTGTTGCACCAGTGTACTATGTTTGGTGCCAGTTATTGGGATGTTAACTGGGTCCCCAGGCCCTGGTTTGGCATAATTTCTGCTATTGGAGCTTTAGACTGATAGGTTTTTTCTGCAACTAAAGACACACATTCGCGTAAAGGATCTCCTGGTTGTTCCCTGGAGGACAGTTACAAAACAAACTGGACGATGTTTGGCAATTTTACACACTCTGGCATCATCTCCACAAACCCCAGGCTACACACATCATAGCAGAGGTTGTTGATACAAGAATTGTCTGAAGTCACAGTTCATCATTGTTTCTCGCTAACAGGCAATGACAAGAGGTGGAATAATTGGTAGAGGTGGTGGTCTTGGACTAGTTTGTTCCGGCGGTCTTCTTGTTTGGTGGTTCAGCTAGAGGAGGATCGTGTAGGAGATGAAGGACCTGATGCTGGTAAAATTACCTGGCTCACCAGAGGAAACTGTTATACCTGCCATTGGACTGTGGGTAACAGCTATCTCAGTAGCAAGAGCCATGCACCTACTCTCTCTCTGTTGGATTGCCAGTTCGTGCCTGGTTGACACAACACAGAAGGGCGGTGTCCCACAGTCCTACATCAGCTGCTTCCCGACAAAAACCTGGATACATAATCCAAACAGAGGCGATTGATGCAGCGTTTTCAAACTGGTCAATCATCACTAAATCTAACACAACCTACGGCATTTGGAGGTGCAGTTGGTATTGGAGGAGGCAGTGGACAGGAGGTTCCGTAGTATGAGGTATTGGAGCTTCAGCTTAGCGGTAAATGGGTGGGGGTGTACTTAAACCAACAACTGGTTGTATAGGTTGTTTCTCTGTCTAGAGTTTTATGTCAGCAATGGGAAGGGGGGGGCGTTTTCATCACGATGATAGGTCTTTCAGTTAAAATAGCTCTACAGCCTTCTTGTGGATCTCCAGTTGTTCCAGGTTGGCAAAGGCATACAGGTCTGTGACTGATTATCCTACAATTAGATTTTTCACCACAAACCCCAAGACTACAAACTTCATAACACATCATGTTTAGACATGAATTGTCCATGTCACAATCATCATTGTTCTCACAAGCTACAGGTAGTGGAACTATCACAGGTGGAGGAGGTCGTGTGATGGGTGGCTCTGTAGGTGGGTGTTTTGGCTCCTCTGTCAGTGGAGGAAGTCCTGGGGCTGTGGGACCAGTGACTGGATTGATGATTATCTCCTGTGCAGGAGGTCTGTCTCCAACAACTGGAGGGAGAGGAACTGGTGTATCCACAGCAAGAGCTGAACACTTGATGTTAGGATTGCCCGTGGTTCCTACTGGACAGATGCAAGTGGGACGGTGTCCAACTGTTTGACAATTGGCATTTTCTCCACAAAATCCAGGATGACATATATCAAAACATAATTTGTTGACACATGAATTATTGAATGGACACTCACCAGAACTTTCACATCCCACAGGCAGGGGACCAGGTGTGGGTGGTGGTGGTGGCGGCAGTGTCACTGGAGGTTGGTGTTTGGTCTGGGGCTTGGAGGTTCAGCCAGTGGTGGTGCACTAGGACTTGTCGGTCCAGTTATTGGATGTACTGGGTCTCCAGGCTGGGTTGGAATAATTTCTGCTATAGGAGGCTGTGGGCTGATAGTTGTTTCTGCGAGTAAAGACACACATTCATGCAAAGGATCTCCTGTTGTTCCTGGAGGACAGCTACAAACTGGACGATGAGATCCTATTTTACACTCTGCGTCATCGCCACAAATTCCAAGGCTGCATACATCATAACAGAGATTATTGATGCAGGAATTATCCATTGTGCAGTCATCACTGTTCCACATGCAAATTGCAATGGAGGGGACAAATTGGAGGTGGTATAGGGGGCGTTGTTGTGGGTTTTATAGGCTTGTTGTATGTGCTCAGGCTAATGGATGAAGTGGCATTGTGGGACTGGCCCAGTGAAGGATGTGGAGATCAATACTCTGGAGAGGTGAGGTGTTCCTTTTATAGGTAATTCATTCAGAGGTTGTCTCTGTTACTTTACCTAAAGAGAGACAATAACCCTGTGTGGGGGTTACCTGTGGTACCAGCTGACATAAACATATCGGATCGATGACCAATTGTATGGCATTCGAGCATTCTTGCCACACAACGCCAGGATACAGATGTCCGTGCAGAGACGATTGATTGCAGGAGGAGTGTCGAAGTTGCAGTTGGATCATTCTTCTTCTCACATCCAACTATGATTTGGAGGTGGTGAAGGGAATTCAAAGTTTTGGATGAGAAGTGGTCGGCACTGGGAGTCTAACGATGAGGCATTTCTAGCAAATTGGTGGGGGTCGCGAAGTTGTATCTGAATTGGACGAATTGGACTTCTTGAGGTGTAAGCGGCACCTCGGCAAAAGGAGGCACTTTGTTGAACTTTCCAAAAGTAAACTTTGCACTGATTTGTGGATTTTCCAGTTGTGCCAGAGGGCAAAGACACACAGGTCTATATGACTAACAGTTTACGCAATCTGCAAGATTCACCAACAAATCCCCAAACAGCATGCTCATAGCAAGCAAATTAAGGCAGTGTTTATCAAAATCACAATCATCATTATTTCCATCATGCCTAACCGAAATAGAAGAAGTAAGGGAAGGTAAAAGGAGGTCGTGTGGACAGGTGGTTTCTGTAGGTGGGTGCTTGGGCTAGCACCTCCCACCAGAGGAGGAAGTCCCTGGGGCTGTAGAACCTGCAATGGGATGGAATGTTATCTCCTCTGCAGGAGGTGTGTCTCCAACAACTGGAGGAGGGAGTGAAACTGGTGTATCCACCACAGCAAGAGCTGAGCACTTGAATATTAGTATTCCCTATGGTTCCCAGAAGCTGGACATGTGTCAAGTGGGAACGGTGGCCAACAGTTTGACAGTCTGCATTTTTTCCACATAAACCAGGATGACATATGTCAAAACAGAGTTTGTTGATGCAGGAGTTATCAAATGGACACTCATCAGAGCTTTCACATCCCACAGGCAGGGGACCAGGTGTGGGTGGTGGTGGTGGTGGTGGTGGTTAGGGTCAACTGGAGGTAGATGTGGGTCTGGGGCTTGGATTTCAGTTGCGGTCCATGGTGTGGTGCAACCAAGGGACTTGTCGGACCAGTTTATTGGATGTACTGGGTCCCCAGGCCTGGGTTGGCAAATTTCTAATTTCTTTCTTCCTGCTATGGGAGGATGTAGGCTGATAGGCCTTTCTGTGTGTACAGACACACACTGCTGGTGAAGGAATTCCAGTTGTTCCTGGAGGACAGCTACACACTGGACGATGGTTTTCAATTTTACATCTAAGGTTGTCTTCACATACTCCAAGGCTACACACATCATAACAAAGGTTGTTGATACAAGAGTTGTCCATAGTGCAGTCATCATTATTTTGACAGGCAATTGCAATTTCTGGTACAATTGGATTGGGCAGAGGTGGTGGCAGAGGTTGTTCATGTGGTGTAATTGTTAGAATCTCTGCCAGTGGGGGAAGTGGGGTAGTGGTAGGACCTTGCACTGGAGTGATAGAGGGATCATCTGGTGGGTGTGGCAACTGCGACATAGGGGATACCGTGCTAGGTCTTTCAGTCATCAGAGCACTGCAGTGTTCTGTTGGGTTACCCATTGTTCCAGGAGGACAAAAGCATGATGGTCTATGACCAATAGTTCTACAGTCAGCATTCTCTCCACACAGACCAGGAGTGCACATGTTAAGACAATACCGATTTACACAGGTATTATCATAGGGACAGTGAGTATTACTTTCACATCCTACAAGTATAGGTGGAGGTGTTGGCACTGGGGCAGGTGGGGCTGAGGTCAACTCTGGTGGTCTACTGGATGGAGGTTCTGCAATCGGAGGTGTCATTTCTGAAGTTGGACCAGAAAGAGGACGTATGGAAATATCATCTTGTTGCAGCGGACTTTCTGTCAATGGAGGAAGAACAGTAATCCTTTCAGTAGTAATAGCTTTACAGCTAATCTGAGGATCTCCAGTAGTTCCCAGAGGACACACACAAACTGGTCTATGGTTGAAACTCTGACAGTAAGCATCTTCGCCACACAAGTTAAGGCTGCACGAATCATAACACAGCATATTGATGCAAGAATCACCTATACTACATTCATCATTATTCTCACATGCAATAATTACTGGTGGAACAACAGTAGGTGGAGGAGGTCGTTTGACAGGTGGCTCTGTAGAAGGGTGCTTTGGCACTTCTGCCAGAGGAGGAAGTCCTGGGGTTGTGGGATCTACAATTGGATGAATGGTTATCTCCTCAGCAGGAGGCCTGTCTCCAGCAACTGGAGGAAGGAGTGGAATTGGTATATCAACAGAAAGAGCTGAGCACTTGACATTTGGATTGCCTGTGGTTCCTACTGGACAGGTGCAAGTGGGACGGTGTCCAATTGTTTGACAGTCTGCATTTTCTCCACAAAAACCAGGATGACAAATGTCAAAACAGTATTTGTTGACACATGAATTATCGAATGGACACTCATCAGAACTTTCACATCCCACAGGCAGGGGACCAGGTGTGGGTGGTGGTGGTGGTAGTGTCACTGGAGGCAGTGTGGGTCTAGGCCTTGGGTGTTCAGCCAGTGGTGGTGCACCAGGACTTGTTGGTCCAGTTATTGGATGTACTGGGTCACCAGGCTGGGTTGGCATAATTTCTGCTATAGGAGGCTGTAGACTGATAGGTTTTTCTGCAACTAAAGACACACATTCATGCAAAGGATCTCCTGTTGTTCCTGGAGGACAGTTACAAACTGGACGATGGTTGGAAATTTTGCACTCTGCATCATCTCCACAAACGCCCAGACTACACACATCATAGCAGAGGTTGTTGATACATGAATTGTCCAGAGCACATTCATCATTATTCTTACAAGCTATGACAAGAGGAGGAATTACTGGAGGAGGAGGTGGTCTTGGACTAGTTGGTTCTGGTGGTTTTGTTGCTGGTAGTTCAGCTAGAGGTGGAGGAGCAGGAGATAAAAGACCTGATGTTGGTATTACTGGTTCACCAGATGGCAGGACTGTAGTACCTGCCATTGGACTGTGAGTAACGGATATCTCAGTAGCAACAGCCATGCACCTGTCTGTTGGATTGCCAGTTGTGCCTGGTGGACATACACAGGTGGGTCGGTGATCCACGGTCTTGCAGTCAGCAGCCTCACCACAAAAACCAGGGTGACATACATCTAGGCAGAGCCGATTGATACAGCTGTTTTCTACTGGACAGTCATCACTGCTAACACAACCTACAGCATTTGGTGGAGTAATTGGCACTGCAGGAGGCAGTGGAACAGGAGGTTCTGTAGTTGCAGGTATTGGAACTTCAGTGAGTGGTGATAGTGGCAGTGTAGTTGGACCAGTAACTGGGTTGATAGGTATTTCTATACCTGGACTAATGTCAGCAACAGGAAGATGTGCAATAATATGAGGTCTTTCTGTTGCTATGGCTATGCATCCTTCTTGTGGATTTCCCGTTGTCCCAGGTTGACAAAGACACACTGGTCTGTGATCTACAGTTTTACAATCAGCTTTTTCAGCACAAACCCCAAGACTACAAACATCATAACACATCATGTTTAGACATGAATTGTCCATGTCACAATCATCATTATTCTCACAAGCAACAGGTACTAGAGGAACTATCACAGGTGGAGGAGGTCGTGTGACAGGTGGCTCTGTAGGTGGGCGTTTTGGCTCCTCTACCAGCGGAGGAAGTCCTGGGGTTGTGGGGCCCGTGATGGGATGGATGGTTATCTGCTCTGCAGGAGGCCTGTCTTCAACAACTGGAGGAGGGAGTGGAACTGGTCCATCCACCGCAAGAGCTGAACATTTAAGTGTTGGGTTACCAGTAGTCCCTTCTGGGCATTTGCAAGAGGGACGATGATCAGTAGTAATACAGTCAGCATAATCACCACAAAAACCTGGGTAACAAACATTAATGCAGAATTTGTTGATACAGGAATTATCGGAGGGACACTCGTCAGAACTTTCACATCCTACAGGAAGGGGACCAGGTGTGGGTGGTGGTGGTGGCAATGTCACCGGAGGCAGAGTTGGTCTGGGACTTGGGTGTTCAGCCATTGGTGGTGCACCAGGACTTGTTGGTCCAGTTATTGGATATATTGGGTCCCCAGGCTTGATAGGCATAATTTCAGCCATGGGAGGCTCTGGGCCAATAGGCTTTTCAGCAAGTACAGAAATACATTCATGTAAAGGATCTCCTGTGGTTCCTGGAGGACAGCTACAAACTGGACGATGGCTGGCAATTTTACACTCTGCGTCGTCTCCACAAAGTCCAAGACTACACACATCATAGCAAAGGTTGTTGATACATGAATTGTCTGAAGCACAGTCATCATTATTCTCACAAGCAATGACTAAAGGTGGAATAATTGGTAGAGGAGGTGGTCTTGGACTAGTTGGTTCTGGTGGTCTTGTTGTTGACAGTTCAGCTAGAGGTGGAGGAGCAGGAGATGAGAGACCTGATGTTGGTATTACTGGTTCACCAGGCGGTAGGACTGTAGTACCTGCCATTGGACTGTGGGTAAGTGGAATCTCAGTAGAAAGAGCCATGCACTTGCGTGTTGGATTGCCGGTTGTGCCTGGTGGACATACACAAGTGGGTCTGTGCTCCACAGTCTTACAGTCAGCAGCCTCACCACAAAGGCCAGGATGGCACATATCCAGGCACAGGCGATTGATGCAACTGTTTTCTCCCGGACATTCATCAGTACTTTCACAACCTACAGCATTTGGTGGAGCAGCTGGTATTGGAGGAGGCAATATAACAGGAGGTTCTGTTGTTACACGTATTGGAGTTTCAACTAAAGGTAATGGTGGTGGTGTACTTGGACCAATAATTGGTTGGATAGGTTTTTCTATATCTAGAGTAATGTCTGCAATGGGACGCTCTGTAATAATGACAGGGCTTTCAGCTGAAACAGCTTTGCAACCTTCTTGTGGGTTTCCCGTTGTTCCAGGTTGACAAAGACACACTGGTCGGTGATCTACAGTTTTACAATCAGCTTCTTCACCACAAACCCCAAGACTACAAACATTATAACACATCATGTTTAAGCATGAATTGTCCATGTCACAGTCATCATTGTTCTCACAAGCAACAGGTACTAGAGGAACTATCACAGGTGGAGGAGGACGTGTGACAGGTGGTTCTGTTGGTGGACGTTTTGGCTCCTCTACCAGTGGAGGAAGTCCTGGGGCTGTGGGACCAGTTATTGGATGGATGGGTGTCTCCTCTGCAGGAGGCCTGTCTCCAACAATTGGAGGACGGACTGGAACTAGATCATCCACAGCAAGAGCTGAGCACTTGACATTTGGATTGCCTGTGGTTCCTACTGGACAGGTGCAAGTGGGACGGTGTCCAACTGTCTGACAGTCTGCATTTTCTCCACAAAAACCAGGATGACAAATGTCAAAACAGTATTTATTAACACAGGAATTATCAAATGGACACTCGTCAGAACTTTCACATCCTACAGGAAGGGGACCAGGTGTGGGTGGTGGTGGTGGCAATGTCACTGGAGGTAGTGTGGGTCTTGGACTTGGGTGCTCAACCAGTGGTGGTGCACCAGGACTTGTTGGTCCAGTTATTGGATGTACTGGGTCCCCAGGCTGGGTTGGCATAATTTCGGCAATGGGAGGCTGTGGACTTATAGATGTTTCTGCGAGTAGAGAGAAACAGTTATGTAAAGGATCTCCTGTAGTTCCTGGAGGACAGCTACAGACTGGGCTATGACTGCCAATTTTACACTCTGCATGATCTCCACAAACTCCCAGACTACACACATCATAACAGAGGTTGTTGATGCAAGAATTGTCTGAAGCACAGTCATCATTATTCTCACAAGCAATGACAAGTGGTGGAATAACTGGAGGTGGTGGTGGTCTTGGAACAGGTGGCTCTGGGGTTGTCGAAATTGGCAGTTCAGCTAGTGGTGGAGGAACAGGAGACGTGAAATGAGAAGTTGGTATTACTGGCTCACCAGGTGGTAAGATTGTAGTACCTGCCACTGGACTGTAAGTAACAGGTATCTCAGTAGCAAGAGCCATGCACCTGTGTGTCGGATTCCCTGTTGTGCCTGGTGGACATACACAGGTGGGTCGGTGACCCATAGTCTTGCAATCAGCAGCCTCCCCACAAAAGCCGGGGTGACATACATCTAGGCAGAGCTGATTGATGCAGCTGTTTTCTACTGGACAGTCATCACTGCTAACACAACCTACAGCATTTGGTGGAGCAGTTGGCACTACAGGAGGCAGTGGAACAGGAGGTTCTGTAGTTACAAGTACTGGAGCTTCAGCTAGTGGTGATTGTGTTTGTGTAGTTGGACCAGCTACAGGGTGGATAGGTGTTTCTCTATCTAAAGTTATGTCAGCAACAGGAGGCTGTACAATAATATGAGGTTTTTCTGTTGCTATGGCTATGCATCCTTCTTGTGGATTTCCTGTTGTTCCCAGCTGACAAAGACACACTGGTCTGTGATGTACAGTTTTACAATCAGCTTTTTCACCACAAACCCCGAGGCTGCAGACATCATAACACATCATGTTTAAGCATGAATTGTCCATGTCACAGTCGTCATTATTCTCACAAGCAACAGGTGCTAGAGGAACTATGAGAGGTGGAGGAGGTCGTGTGACAGTTGGTTCTGTAGGTGGGCGTTTTGGCTCCTCAGCCAGTGGAGGAAGTCCTGGGGCTGTGGGACCTGTGACTGGATGGATGGTTATCTCTTCTGCAGGAGGCCTGTCTCCAAGAACTGGAGGGAGTGGAATTGGTGTATCAACAGCAAGAGCTGAGCACTTGATATTAGGATTTCCTGTGGTTCCCACTGGACAGGTGCAAGTGGGACGGTGTTCGACAGTCTGACAGTCCGCATTTTCTCCACAAAACCCAGGGTGACAGATGTCAAAACAGAGTTTGTTGACACAGGAGTTGTCGAAGGGACACTCATCTGCACTTTCACATCCCACAGGCAGAGGACCAGGTGTGGGTGGTGGTGGTGGCAAGGTCACTGGTGGCAGTGTTGGTTTGGGACTTGGGTGTTCAGCTAGTGGTGGCATAGTTTTTTCTGTTGGTCCTGGAACTGGATGTATATCATCTATTTCTTTTGATGCTAGTGTCTGTGTTATTGGAGGGAAGGTAGTTATTTTCTCTGTCAACAAAGCTATGCATTTTCGAGTGGCATCTCCAGTGGTTCCTGGTGGACATGTACAAATTGGCCGATGTGTTGTAACCCTACATTCAGCGTCTTCTCCACATATGCCCAATGAACACACATCATAGCAAAGTTTGTTGTAGCATGTATTATCCATGCTACAATCATCATTGTTCTCACATGCCACAGTAATTGGGGGAATGATTGGTGCAAAGTGTATCTGTTCCAACAGATGCTGTGGTGGTGGCCTAGTGGGTGGCTCTTCAGCTATTGGAGGAGGGTGTGTGTGTGAGGGACCAGTAATGGGGTGGACTACTGATGGTGGTATATCGGGATGCACCTCACTTAATGGCGGTCTTAGTGTATGAGGTTCTTCAACCAATAATGCAGTGCATTTTATAGTTGGATTTCCAGATGTTCCCGGAGGGCATACACACGTTGGCCGATTTGCTAAAGTCTGACAATGAGCTGTGTCTGCACACAGTGTTGGGCTGCATACATCTCCACACAAGCGATTTATACAGGTTGCATCAAAGGGACATTGGTCATTGCTGGCACATCCAACCTTCACAGGTGCCGGCATCTGGTGTAGAGGTATGAGCTGTTTGTAGGGTTTCTCTGGAGCTCTGGTGGTGGAGGCAGCAGCCATAGGAGGTGGCAAAGTCTGAACCATGCCTTCCACAGGATGAATGGGGTCGTCTGGTGAAGGATGCTGAGTTTGTGCAACAGGACCAAGTGTGGTGGGTGGAGCTTTTGTTGCAACAGCCATGCACTTTAAAAATGGATCACCTGTTGTCCCTGGTGGACAAGAGCACTTGGGCCTGCTGCTAACCATTGTACAATCTGCATTGCTTCCACAGTAACCTTGGTGACATACATCTACACAAAGTCTATTAATGCATGTGTTACTATATGGGCAGTCATCTGTGCTCTCACACCCAACAGTGATTGGAGGTGAAGTAGTTAGGAAAGGTGGGGCTGGTCTAGGAGTTAGTGGTCTCTTGCGCTCCGTAGTGGGATATTCGACTAGAGGTCGCTGGGTGGTGGTGGTCAGGGCAATGGGTGTATGCTGGGACACACTTGGTATGAGTGGCCTCTCAACTATTGGTGGAAGGCGGTCACACACATACCCAGAGCCAGTGAAACCTAGGATGCAGGTGCACACAGGAAAGTGTGCCAGTGTCTCACACCTTGCAAAAGGAGAGCAAGGATTATGTAGAATGCATGGACTGACACACTCACGCTGGGCACACGCTTTGTTGGTGGGACAGTCTTGATCAGTGAGGCAGTCTGGTGGGGAAGTGGCTGCAATTGGCTCTTTGCACTCTATGTATGGGTTGCCAACAAGTCCTGGTTGACAGTAACATGTGGGTTTGTGGCTGATGCCACGACACAGTGAGTTGTGACTACGACATGGATTGGTAACACTGCAAACTAGAACACAGTCAAAGTTGTGGCACATCTTGTCATCGTCACATTCAAAGTCTCTAGTGCATTCTATGTCAACTTCGTGGCTCAGAGGCAGAGTAGCCACACCAGGTCTGACAGTCGTCCGAGTCGGAAATACGGCAATTGGGGAAGGGGTAGTTGTGGTGGAAAGCACACAATAATAACCATTGCCTACATAACCCAGGATGCATGTGCAGTGTGGTAAGTGAGCAACAACTGTACATTCAGCTAGGTGTGAGCATGGATTAGCCACACCACATGGACTAACACACCGACGCTCAGCACAAGCCTTGTCCTGTGCACAGTCGATGTCAGCCAGACATTCAGGTCTGGGTGTGGTTGTGGTTGGGAAGCAGCGAATGATTGGGTTTCCTTGGAATCCTGGGGGGCATTTGCAGACTGGCCGGTGTTGGATGACAGTACAGTCGGCACCTGTAGCGCATGGGTGTGTGGCAACGCATGGATCCACACACCTTTCGTTGATGCAGCTCCGGGAGGGGGAACAGTGTGAGTTAGACTTACACTCAGTGGGTGGGAGTGGGGGAGAGGCTGGAGTAGTTGGAGGATGGAAGGCTTGGGATGCAGTGGGTGAGGGGAAGTCTACAAGCGGGAAAGGAGTGGTGGTAGGGGAACACCCTCGCTCGGGGTCGCCTGTGTACCCTTGGAGACAATAGCATATAGGAACATTGTTAGTAACTCGACATTCAGTGTTAAAGCCGCATGCACTCGGGGAGCATTTGATGGGCTTCGCTGATGCTGAAAAAGTTATAGATCATGCAGTTAGCACATGCAATAGATAAACTTTAAAGTTTGTACATTATGCTACATGCTTTACACTTCAACAATTTCTGAATGCAAATACAACTTGAAATAGAAACTAGAGGGACATGCTAGCGGGAGGACAGATATGCCATGCAGAATGACATGCTCCTTTAAATAACATCTCATGCTCATTGTATGTATTTCATGCTTCATCTCAACATATAACAACATTGCTATTTGGCTATCGTGCAAAAGATCAAAATCATAACATGACAGAAAAATACAGATTCATCAAGCAGGCCCAAAGCAGGTGGTGATGGGTACTTACCAAGAAGACACTCTATGTATGGGTTGCCCTTGTATGCCCGAGGACAAGAGCACATGGCCCTGTGGTTGATGACATCACAGAGAGCATTGACTCCACAGCTGCCATCCTGACAGGGGTCCCGACACTTTTGGTTGACACAGGCAAGGTACTTGGGACAGTCTGAGTTGATGGTACACTCTGGTCGACACTCAACGTATGGGTTGCCAATGTAGCCAGGGTAGCAAGAACACTTGGCAAGAGCATCCACCACAGCACAGTTGGCATTGGGGCCACACGGGGTAGGGTTGCATGGATCTTTGGGCACCACTACATGAACAAAACATAACAGCATATATTTCTTTGATAACAAATACAAAATGAACATGCAACACACACACACACACACACATATATACAGTGGACCCCTGCCTTATGAACGCATCGTGTTATGTTAAATCCGCCATATGAAGCATTTGAACACAAAAATTTTGCCTCGCCTCACGATAAAAAACTCGCCTTATATGATTCATCCAGGACACGTCCCACGTGTGGCCTCAGCGCCAGTGTTTACAAGCCAGCCAGTGCGGTCGCATATACGCATACATTCAGTACATTTCACATTATCTCAGTGTTTTTAGTGCCTATAACTGCAAAATAAGTTACCATGGACCCCAAGAAAGCTTCTAGTGCCATCCCTGTGGTAAAAAGAGCGAGAATTAGTATGGAATTCAAAAAAGAGATTAAGGAAATGTGTGCAAAGTGGGTTGAACTGCAAACCTTTACAGATGAAAATCACCCTGACACAGCTACTGCAAGCTGTGTTGGCAACCTGTACAATGACAATGTTATGGCCCATTTTAGGGAAGTCTTAAAGGAACGGGAGGTACAGAGCTCTATGGACAGATTTGTTGTGCGACAGAGGTTCAGTGACTCTCAAGCTGGTCCTAGTGGCATTAAAAGAAGAAGGGAAGTAACCCCAGAAAAGGACTTTCTACCTCAAGTCCTAATGGAAGGGGATTGCCCTTCTAAACAAGAACTTGCACACAAAATCATCATACGAAAGAAAAAAGATTTTGGCAGAGGAGCCCATCCCCCAATAAAAAGCAGGGGTGTCACTAGCACGTTAAGAGACCATACAATAAGTGTCAGGGGCCCGAGACTGTTCAACTGCTCCCAGCACACATAAGGGGATTACCAACAGACCCTGGCAGTCTTCAAGCTGGCACTGGACAAGCACCTAAAGACAGTTCCTGATCAGCCGGGCTGTGGCTCGTACGTTGGTTTGCGTGCAGCCAGCAGCAACAGCCTGGTTGATCAGGCGCTGATCCACCAGGAGGCCTGGTCACAGACCGGGCCGCGGGGCGTTGACCCCGAAACTCTCTCCAGGTAAACTCCAGGTAAACATAACACTACTGACACAACAATACTGATACAACACTACTGACACAAACAATACTGATACAACACTACTGACACAACAATACTGATACAACACTACTGACACAACAATACTGATACAACACTACTGACACAACAATACTGATACAACACTACTGACACAACAATACTGATACAACACTACTGACACAACAATACTGATCAACACTACTGACACAACAATGCTGATACAACACTACTGACACAACAATGCTGATACAACACTACTGACACAACAATACTGATACAACACTACTGACACAACACCACTGATACAACACTACTGACACAACACTACTGATACAACACTACTGACACAACACTACTGATACAACACTACTGACACAACAATACTGATACAACACTACTGCACAACACCACTGATACAACATACTGACACAACACTACTGATACAACACTACTGACACAACACTACTGATACAACACTACTGACACAACACCCACTGATACAACACTACTGACACAACAATACTGATACAACACTACTGACACAACACCACTGATACAAACACTACTGACACAACACTACTGATACAACACTACTGACAACAACACTACTGATACAAACACTACTGACACAACACCACTGATACAACACTACTGACACAACAATACTGATACAACACTACTGACACAACAATACTGACATAACACTACTGACACAACAATACTGATACAACACTACTGACACAACAATACTGATACAACACTACTGACACAACAATACTGATACAACACTACTGACACAACAATGCTGATACAACACTACTGACACAACAATGCTGATACAACACTACTGACACAACAATACTGATACAACACTACTGACACAACAATGCTGATACAACACTACTGACACAACAATACTGACACAACACTACTGAGACAATAATGCTGATACAACACTACTGACACAACAATGCTGATACAACACTACTGACACAACAATACTGATACAACACTATTGACACAACAATGCTGATACAACACTACTGACACAAACAATACTGACACAACACTACTGACACAATAATGCTGATACAACACTACTGACACAACAATGCTGATACAACACTACTGACACAACAATGCTGATACAACACTACTGACACAACATACTGATACAACACTACTGACACAACAATGCTGATACAACACTACTGACACAACAATACTGATACAACACTACTGACACAACAATACTGACATAACACTACTGACACAACAATACTGATACAACACTACTGACACAACAATACTGACACAACACTACTGACACAATAATGCTGATACAACACTACTGACACAACAATGCTGATACAACACTACTGACACAACAATGCTGATACAACACTACTGACACAACAATACTGATACAACACTACTGACACAACAATGCTGATACAACACTACTGACACAACAATACTGACACAACACTACTGACACAATAATGCTGATACAACACTACTGACACAACAATGCTGATACAACACTACTGACACAACAATGCTGATACAACACTACTGACACAACAATGCTGACACAACACTACTGACACAACAATACTGATACAACACTACTGACACAACAATGCTGATACAACACTACTGACACAACAATACTGACACAATAATGCTGACACAGCAATGCTGATACAACACTACTGACAACAATGCTAACACAACAATGCTGACACAACACTACTGACACAACACTACTGACACAACAATGCTGACAACACTACTGACACAACAATGCTGACACAACAATGCTGACACAACACTACTAACACAATGCTGACACAACACTACTGACAACAATGCTGACAAAACTACTGACACAACACTACTGACACAACAATGCTGACAACACTACTGACACAATGCTGACAACACTACTGACACAACAATGCTGACACAACAATGCTGACAACAGTACTGACACAACAATGCTGACACAACACTACTGACACAACAATGCTGACAACACTACTGACACAATGCTGACACAACACTACTGACACAAAACTACTGACACAACAATGCTGACACAACACTACTGACAACACTACTTACACAACAATGCTGACAACACTACTGACACAACAATACTGACAAAACACTACTGACACAACAATGCTGACAACACTACTGACACAACAATGCTGACACAACACTACTGACAACAATGCTGACACAACAATGCTGACTCAACAATGCTGACACAACACTACTGACACAACACTACTGACACAACAATGCTGACAACACTACTGACACAACAATGCTGAGACAACACTACTGACACAATGCTGACACAACAATGCTGACACAACACTACTGACACAACAATGCTGACACAACAATGCTGACACAACAATGCTGACACAATGCTGACACAACACTACTGACACAACACTACTGACACAACAATGCTGACACAACAATGCTGACACAACAATGCTGACACAACAATGCTGACACAACACTACTGACACAATGCTGACAACACTGCTGACACAACAATGCTGAAACAACACTACTGACACAACAATGCTGATACAACACTACTGACAACAATGCTGACACAACACTACTGACACAACAATGCTGACACAACACTACTGACACAACAATGCTGAAACAACACTACTGACACAACAATGCTGACACAACACTACTGACACAACAATGCTGACACAACACTACTGACACAACAATGCTGATACAACACTACTGACACAATAATGCTGACACAACACTACTGACACAACAATCCTGACACAACAATGCTGACACAACACTACTGACACAACACTACTGACACAACAATGCTGACACTACTGACACAACAATGCTGACACAACAATGCTGACAAAACACTACTGACACAACACTACTCACACAACAATGCTCACACAACACTACTGACACAACAATGCTGACACAACACTACTGACACAACAATGCTAATACAACACTACTGACACAACAATGCTGACACAACACTACTGACACAACAATACTGATACAACAATGCTGGCACAACAATACTGACACAACAATGCTGACACAACAATGCTGACACAACACTACTGACACAATGCTGACACAACACTACTGACACAATGCTGATACAACACTACTGACACAACAATGCTGACACAACAATGCTGACACAACACTACTGACACAACAATGCTGATACAACACTACTGACACAACAATGCTGATACAACACTACTGACACAACAATGCTGATACAACACTACTGACACAACAATGCTGATACAACACTACTGACTCAACAATGCTGATACAACACTACTGACACAACAATGCTGACACAACAATGCTGATACAACACTACTGACACAACAATGCTGACACAACATTACTGACACAACAATGCTGACACAACAATGCTGACACAACAATGCTGACACAACACTACTGACACAACAATGCTGAAACAACACTACTGACACAACAATGCTGACAAAACTGACACAACAATGCTGACACAACACTACTGACACAACACTACTCACACAACAATGCTGACACAACACTACTCACACAACAATGCTGACACAACACTACTGACACAACACTACTGACACAACAATGCTGACACAACACTACTGACACACCACTACTGACACAACACTACTGACACAACAATGCTGACACAACAATGCTGACACAACACTACTGACACAACACTACTGACACAACACTACTGACACAACAATGCTGACACAACACTACTGACACAACACTACTGACACAACAATGCTGACACAACACTACTGACAACACTACTGACACAACACTACTGACACAACAATGCTGACACAACAATGCTGACACAACACTACTGACACAACACTACTGACACAACACTACTGACACAAACAATGCTGACACAACACTACTGACAACACTACTGACACAACACTACTGACACAACAATGCTGACACAACACTACTGACAACACTACTGACACAACACTACTGACACAACAATACTGACACAACACTACTGACACAACACTACTGACACAACACTACTGACACAACACTACTGACACAACACTACTGACACAACAATGCTGACACTACTGACACAACACTACTGACACAACACTACTGACACAACAATGCTGACACAACACTACTGACACAACACTACTGACAACACTACTGACACAACACTACTGGCACAACACTACTGACACAACACTACTGACACAACACTACTGACACAACACTACTGACACAACACTACTGACACAACAATGCTGACACTACTGACACAACACTACTGACACAACACTGCTGACACAACAATGCTGACACAATGCTGACACAACAATGCTGACGCAACACTACTGACGCAACAATGCTGACACAACACTACTGACACAACAATACTGACACAACAATGCTGACACTACTGACACAACAATGCTGACACAACAATACTGACACAACAATCCTGACACAACAATGCTGACACAACACTACTGACACAACACTACTGACACAACACTACTAACACAATGCTGACACTACTGACACAACAATGCTGACACAACAATACTGACACAACACTACTGACACAACAATGCTGACACTACTGACCAAACAATGCTGATACAACACTACTGACACAACAATGCTGACACTACTGACACAACAATGCTGACACAACAATGCTGACACAATAATGCTGACACAACAATACTGACAACACTACTGACACAATGCTGACACAACAATGCTGACACAATGCTGACACAACACTGACACAATACTACTGACACAACACTACTGACACAACAATGCTGACACAACAATGCTGACACAACAATGCTGACACTACTGACACAACAATGCTGACACAACAATGCTGACACAACACTACTGACACAACAATGCTGACACAACACTACTGACACACTACTGACACAACAATGCTGACACAACACTACTGACACAACACTACTGACACAACACTACTGACACAACACTACTGACACAACACTGACACAACACTACTGACACAACAATGCTGACACTACTGACACAACAATGCTGACACTTCTGACACAACAATGCTGACACTACTGACACAACAATGCTGACACTACGGACACAACAATGCTGACACTACTGACACAACAATGCTGACACTACTGACACAACAATGCTGACACAACACTACTGACACAACAATGCTGACACAACACTGCTGACACAACAATGCTGACACTACTGACTCAACAATGCTGACACAACACTACTTACACAACAATGCTGACACTACTGACACAACAATGCTGACACAACAATACTGACACAACAATGCTGACACACTACTGACACAACAATGCTGACACAACACTACTGACACAACAATGCTGACACAACACTACTGACACAACAATGCTGACACAACACTACTGACACAACAATGCTGACACTACTGACACAACAATGCTGACACAACAATGCTGACACAACACTACTGACACAACAATGCTGACACTACTGACACAACAATGCTGACACAACACTACTTACACAACAATGCTGACACTACTGACACAACAATGCTGACACAGCAATGCTGACACTACTGACAACAATGCTGACACAACAATGCTGACACAACAATGCTGACACTACTGACACAACAATGCTGACACAACAATGCTGACACAACAATACTGACACAACAATGCTGACACAACAATACTGACACAACAATGCTGACACAACAATGCTAACACAACAATGCTGACACTACTGACACAACAATGCTGACACAACAATACTGACACAACAATGCTGACGCAATGCTGACACAACAATGCTGACACTACTGACACAATGCTGACACAACAATGCTGACACAACAATGCTGACCCAACAATGCTGACACTACTGACACAACAATGCTGACACAACAATGCTGACACAACAATACTGACACAACAATGCTGACACAACAATACTGACACAACAATGCTGACACAACAATGCTAACACAACAATGCTGACACTACTGACACAATGCTGACACAACAATACTGACACAACAATGCTGACGCAATGCTGACACAACAATGCTGACACTACTGACACAATGCTGACAACAATGCTGACACAACAATGCTGACACAACAATGCTGACACAACAATGCTGACACAATACTGACAACAATACTGACACAACAATACTGACACAACAATACTGACACAACAATACTGACACAACAATGCTGACACAACAATGCTGACACAACAATGCTGACACAACAATGCTGACACAACATACTGCTGGTCAACCACTGATCTTACAACATTCGTCTCTAAGAAACTATAAACTATGTGCTCTTGATAGTTTCTTACCATAATGTATTTTATTTTCTTTCATTGATAATTTTCCATGGGTACAGAGTTTTAAAAGTATATAGAGTGAAGGTGGAGGATGACTTACTAGGGGGAGGAGCAGGGTTGCAGCGGCTGAGGGGGTTGCCTGTGTAGCCTGTGGGACAGCTGCACACGGCCTGGTGGTTGAGCACCTCACAGAGAGCATGCAGGCCACACGCCCCAGGACATGGCTCCACGCACTTGTTCTTCACACAGTCCAAGTAGCGAGTACAGTCAGAGTCGACAGTGCACTCAGCTTACAAGCCACATATGGGTTACCATAATGGTCACTCATACAGGTGCATACTGCCACACCACCCTGCACTGAGCACTTTGCATTAGTGCCACAGCCGCTCAGTGTACAAGGATCAGAGACGGCTGGAAGGGATGGGTGTGGGACCGCTGCAAGAAGACCCAATAGAGTTACTCCAGAAACACCAGAGATGAGCTGCTGTTGCTCTTTAATGAGCCACTGATGCTCATTATAATACAAGGAAGCTGTCTGGAGACAGCTGAAAGTCAGTCCTGAGAGTCGATGAGCAGCCACTCCCAATGGAGCCTGATGTATACGATACGAAGATTGAAAGGGGGAAGACTAGTGCTTCTGCAGTGTGTATGACATTATCATATTATTAATATGAGGCAAAGAAAATGTTTTTCTTTCAGGTGAGAGCAGCATTACGAGCAGCGCTCATCGGCCCCCATGACATAGACTGGAAATCAGAAAGAGTAAGAATATAGTGTGATGCTTACAAGGACGAGCTGGAAGACAGAGAGAGAGTGGGTCTCCTGTGTATTGTGGTCGACACGAGCACACAGGGCTGTGCTGGATCACGCGACATTCTGCGTCCATGCCACATGCACCAATGCATGGATTAATGCACTTGAGGCTCACGCAAGCTTTTTGTGCCGCACATTCACTATTGACGACGCACTCAGGGTGACACCTGGGAGGGGAGCCCAGATAACCTGGAAGACAGGTACAACTGGCTCTCCCACCCACCTCACGACACTCAGAGTACTGACCGCAGGGGGACAACGTGCAGGGGGAGGCAGGGGCTGGGGCCACAGCTGCTGGGAAAGGCAAGCCATGAAGTAATTATCTCCACACTACCAAGCCACTAAACCAAGTTATTATAATTACATATCATGCTTTGAAAATAACATGCTAAAACAGCTACTTCTGTACTGAAGAAAAAGTTATGGTGAAAATATCATGCAAATACTAATGAGAATTATTTTTAGATAAAAATCATGCAAGTACTAGAGAGAAAAGTTTAAGAGAATATATTGAATTAATACATAAGAAAGAACAGGAAGGTTCATACGTGTATAAAGAGAACAAGCAAGGTAAGGGTCGCCGGAGTAGCCAGGTTTGCAGGAACACTGTGGACGGTGGTTGATGACCATACAGGAGGCACGGCGGCCACAGGTGCCAGGGCATGGGTCCACACACCGCTGCTGTTGGCACGACCTGTCCAGCCGGCAGTCCAGGTCTCGCTGGCATTCTGGTCGGCACCCCAAGAGGGGTTGCCCCCCAGGGCCGGGGGGGCGAGTTGATGGTACACTCTGGGCGACATGGGGAGCCCATGAACCCAGGGAGGCAGGAGCACACATTTTGGGTGTTGTCGGGTGTGGGGCGACACACAGAGTTGGGCCCACATGGGTTGGGCTCACATGGGGTCAACACAGGTTTTGGTAGCACAGCTGATGCAGGGAAGTAACAGATTAATATTACAGGTTCTTCATTAAATCACTGTGTTAAATTTATTTCTAAGTTCTTGACATACTTCAACAAACTGAGAATAACATCTTAATACTCAGTCACCACACTTATATTAATACCAAATAATATGCAGATAAGAAAATGAAGTTCATCTGTAAGTGAATTAATCCCCTAGAGTTTACACTATTGTGAGTACATGATGAAATGTGACAAATTTGGAGACTAAGAGACATTTAACCCAAATGGATGATGTTATATTACTGTGCAAAACATACTGCATGGTAAATGTTATTATATTTATAAAAGTAACTAAGCCTTATAGGCCATTCAGCATCTCTTGGAAAGTGTTAAATGTCAGAATGTATAAAGTAGATGTGAAGTATACACATCTACTTTATGTAATTGCTGCAATTACTTTAAGTGGATCATCCTCATCCTCCCTCCCTCTCTCTCCCTCTCTCTTTCTCCCTACAGAAACACTTAATACTCACGTTTGGTTACACAGAACCTGAAGGGGTCGCCTGTAAGGTGGCTGGGACAGTAACAGATGGGGTTGTGGTGGACAACATCACATAGAGCATTGGTGCCACACAATCCAGGGCACGGATCGCCACACTTCTGATCAATACATGACTTGTCATCATCACAGTCGGCATTACTAACACATTCAGGACGGCAGCGGTCTTTAGGGTCACCAATGTAGTCGCCGATGCAGGAGCAGATGGGCTTGGAACCCTCCACACGGCACTCTGTGTTCAGACCACATGGAGATGGCGCACACGGGGTGATTTGAGGCTTTGGAGTTACTTGTTCCATAGGAGAGATAGGCTCTGTTAATACATCACAGCGTGTGTAAGGGTTCCCCTTAAATCCAGCAGGACAGAAGCACACTGGGCGGTGAGTATTGACTTCACAAAGTGAGTTAATGCCACAGGCACTTGGACAAGGGTCGATACAATGAGTGTTGACACAGGCTAGGTCATGGCTGCAGTCATCATCAACAGTGCACTCAGGCTTGCAACCACTGTCAGAATTGGCCTCGCCAAAGAAGCCAGGAGTACAGGAGCACACTGGATAGTTGTTGGCTCCAATTGAGCACTGGGTGTTGGGGCCACATGGATTGCGCTCACAGGGGTTGTCAGGCTTTGAGCGGCAATGAACCTGTGGATCACCATCATATCCCTCCAAACACCGACAAAGAAGACTGTTGCCACGAACGTAACACTCAGCATTTTGCCCACAGATGCCAGGGCCACAACTTGGAGGTGGCACTGTTGGGGAGGACAGACTAACATCAACATTTACCATCCACAGATTCAGACTAAATATACTATACATAAAGGCATGCACCATCAACAAAAATGTGGAAAAAAAACAAATGACTGACCTTTGCAACCAGTAAAGGGGTCGCCAACGAGGCCAGGACGGCAGACGCAGAAGGGACTCTTGTTAGGGTCACAGAGAGCTCCGTCTCCACATGGGGAAGGTACACATGGGTTTATGGGAGGCTCACAGCCTCGGATGGTGTTGGGCTTGCCCACAAAGCCTGGCTTGCATGTGCATCGATGGTAGCCATTCACCACATTACAGTCGGTGTTGGGTCCGCAGGGCGATGGGTGGCAGGGGTTGGCAGGGGCACTGCAGGGCTCGCTAGGTGGGTTCCCCACAAACTCTGGCAGGCAGAAACAAATGGGTGCCCCACCCACAATACGACACCCAGAGTTGGGACCGCACTGGTTGGGCTCACAGTCCTCACCCTCGGGAACTGTTGACCAGAATTAATATACTGTATTAAACAAAATTATTAGACAGAGAACATAAGGCAAAGATAATATTTTAATTTTAAAGGATGCAGAGTGAAGTGTTGAGCTTAAGAAACCTTGTGTTTTAAGTACAGACATTACTGTATTGTGCTTTAGTTTAAATGGAGACAAAAGGATGGGAGTAGTGAAGACTCACTGCACTTTTCGAAGGGGTTACCAGTGGTGCCACGAGGACACACACAGATAGGGTTGCCATCGTCCAGCTCACAGAGAGCACCCTCACCACAGGGGTCAGTATCACATGGGTTGATGGGCACCTGGCAGCTCCTGAGAGGGTCACCTACATATCCAGGAGGGCAGCGGCAGGTGGCACGGTGGCTGGCCACCTCACACACGGCATTACGGCCACACCTGCATGGGTCCTGGCACTGATTGTTGATGCACGCCTGGTTGGTGGGGCAGTTGCTGTTGTCTCGGCAACCCACAACTGTCAATATAACACATTAATATTACCTGTTGACCATGCTATGTGGTCACTCCAGTACCTGGTAATATACATGTTGACCATGCTATGTAGTCACTCCAGTACCTTGTAATATACCTGTTAACCATGCTATGTGGTCACTCCAGTACCTGGTAATATACCTGTTGGCCATGCGATGTGGTCACTCCAGTACCTGGTAATCACTGTTTTCAAAGCAATTGTAAATATTTTTGCATGTTATGCAATATAAATAAAAACTTACTGTGAAAAATGCATTAGTTAGGCATGCAGAAAAGAGAAAACATAAGTTATGAGAGAGAATGTAATGTGGTAGGGGTAACTTACGTATGGCACACTCGATGTTAGGGTTGCCACTGTAGCCGGCAGGGCACTGACACTGTGGCCGGTGGTCGATAGCTTGGCAGATGGCAGTTGGGGCACATGTCCCACTCTCGCAAGGGTCAAGGCACTTGCGTGTAAAGCGGTCACAAGCCTTGTTGGAGGGACAGTCTTCGTTGTACTGGCAGCCGATCGTTGGGATGGTCACTGGGCAAGCAAGAATAATGGAGGACGTTTTTACAAAAAATACATAAGGTAAATATTAAGCTATGATGTGTAACTGAAGGAAGTCTCCTGAAAAAAATAACATGAAGGCGGAACCGGGACACGCGAGTATATACATGCAGAAAGCTGCATCTTCTATCAAAATTTCTCTACACCGGAAACGGATATCCGAAAAACGCAGCACGGGAAAGTCGGGGTAACTGAAAACAATAGCTGACAGAAGTTCAAGTTGGGTAAAGTTGGGTGACAATGTACCCCCAACACTTTGTTACTGAGACAAGAGAGCAACAAGGTGCGAGCAGTACACCACATGTATCTGTCCACGCACACGTACACACACACACTTCTACACACCAATATTTATGCATATTTAAATATTTATAAAAAGGATAATTTAATATAGAATATACTAAAGATGATGAGAGACAGAATGTAATATAAACTAGAGTTATTTCATGCTGAGAAGATACATTTAGTAGAGATGTGAGCATTAAAGGGGGCTGTCAAGGCTGTATTGTGCACTGTTTCCAGTACTCAACATCATTATTACTTTACTCTCGAAGTGCTAAACCTCTGAGGGTTGTATAGCACCTGGGGTGTGGGAGGTAATCAAGTTTGGTCAGAGAAAGGGAAGGGTACCTCAGTTTCTTGGAACAGGAACCCTGGAGGAGCATGAAGGCACCATCCCCTTTGAAGATTTGGTTAGTGAGGAGAGGTTACAAAAGATGTGAGGGGTCCATCACGAAGAACACTACCAAGATCAGTCAGTCAGGTGTCATGCATTAGGTACCCAGCAGACACTCCACAGGTGGTGAGAGGTAGACAGGAACACCCTCTCACATCACCTAGGTCAGTCAGGTGTCATGCATCAAGTAGCCAGTAGACACTCCGGAAGTGGTAAGTGAAAAAGATGGGGGCCCTACCAGGGCTGTCAGTCAGGTGTCATGCATCAGATAGCCAGTAAACACTCCAGAAGTGGTGGGAGGGAGAGAGACCAGCAAGAGATGTAGTCTTGGTGATGTGGGTTACCTGGTGTGCACAGGTCTCGCGGGTCACCTTCGTACCCGTCTGGACACTGGCAGATGGTGCGGTGGTTGATGACGCGGCAGCGGGCACCCACGCCGCAGGGAGGTGGCACTGTGGTGCAGGGGTCACGGCACTCCCCAGACACACACGCCTCCCGCAACTCGCACTCGATGTCCGACAAGCAGAAGCCAGTGACTGAAGGGGTGTCAGAGTCAGGGGTTGCAGAGGTGTCAGAGTCAGGGGTGTCAGTCACAGTCAATTAGAAAGTAACAGCAGAAGCTTGAAGGCTTCACTAAACACTATTGGGGTGAACTATAATAGATTCAACAGGTACATCAATATCTTCATAAGTCACAACACAAGAGAGAGTGATAGCAGTACATCTTACTTGGTTCACAAGCAAGTCGAGGGTTCCCCGTAAACCCAACAGGACAAAGGCAAATGGTAGTGCCAGCCTCTGCTTGGCAGAGTGCATCACTTCCACAGTCCTGGCAGGGATCTCCGCACGTGCCGTTACGGCAGACACTCCCGTGTGGGCACTGAGTATCGGCCTGACAGCCACTCCTGATGCATCCCACCTCCGGGTTGCCAGTGTAGCCTGGCAGACAGAGGCAGACAGGGCGGTGTTGATGGACCTGGCAGAGGGAGCCCCTAGGGCAAGGCGCCACCCCACATGGGTTACTACACACACGCTCGATGCATGCCTTGTCTGCCGGGCAGTCAGAGTTGTAGCCGCAGGTGGGAAGTGGTGAGCACCCCTGGAGAGGCACGCCCGTGGTACCTACAGGACACGTGCAAGAGGCAACGTGGGCCAGAGCACGACAGATGGCTGTGGGCGGGCATGGGCTGCTGCCTTCCCTGCACGGGTTCACACACTGACCACTATAACATTCTTCACCGGGTGAACAATCATCAGGAGTGAGGCAGCCAACTGTTCGTCAACACAGTAAAATGAACAGGGAGGTGTTAGTACTGTTGGATCCACCAACACTATTACCCTGAGCTATTTTAGCTAGCGTCACTATCGTGAGTACTAACCGAGCGTTAACACCATTGCTTCTATCCCTACATTCATTACAATATTGTTAATTATATTATTCTAAATCTAAATATTAACTATGGATGCACTTGCTGTAATAAAAACAATAGCTATGTCAGGTGAACTAGAATGTCGCATATGAATTCAGTCATGTCTACAGCATCAAATATTAATAATACAGCAAAAGTTTAATAACACATATTAATGATTATTACAAAACAACACGTACAAACAGGTTAGGAATTGTAAACGAGAGTGTTAGAGTGGGATGTGAGGTAGTATGTTTGGGTATAGTATTATACTGAGGTAAGTGTGTGTGGTGGGTTGTTGAGGCTGGACCTGGCAGGAGTTGCACTACAGTGTACCAGGTCCTCTCACCACTTCTCACACACATCAACCCTCAAATTATACAAAACAAGGTTAGGTTGTGAAAGAAGTTCTTTAGAGTGGCACAAAGTGCTTCCTCCTGAACAATGACTGTTGGGTGTAACTTATCAACCCTTGAGAGGACGGTAAAGATGTAAGGGTGAGAGAGGGGTAGAGAGTTAGGTTGGGAGTGTAACTTACCGGGGGAGCATCCCTTGATAGGATCACCCTGGAAGCCGTTGCGACACCTGCACTGAGCACTATGGTCACTGTTGATACACTCTGCGTTAGAGCCACAGGGATCATCCTCGCACGGGTAACGACATTCGTTGTTAATACAAGCTTGTGTTGAGGGACACTGGTCGTCTCCTCGGCAGCCGGCAGCTGAGAGGGGCCAGGTTAGTAGGGGTCTTCACACCAGGCTACAATAACTATATCATGTGAGAAAGCTACCATTTATGTATATTATCACAATAGATGCATTAGTGAATATCAAATATGAGCCAGGAGGAGGAGGAGGAGAGAGAGTGAAGCATGCGAGAGTGATGTAACGAGAAAGATATAACAAGAGGAAGCCAGTAATCTTACTGATGACATTGTCAAGGCCGCACAAGATATAGGGGTCACCAGTATAGCCCGGCTGGCAGGTACACAGGGGTCGGTGTGCCAGGGTGTGGCAGGTGGCCCTGGCAGCGCAGGGGTTGGCCAGCTGGCACGGGTCACGGCACACACGGTTATAACACACCTGGTGGTCAGGACACACCAGGTCGGAGGTGCAGCCGGGAGCCGGGGTGGGCGCTAGGTCAGGAGAGGTACAGG